CCCGCATCCCCTGCATTGGCAGGCGGACTCTCAACCACTGCGCCACCAGGGAAGCCCCCCCACCCCTCAGTTTCTTCATCTGTAAAATGGACTTAACGGCATCAACTTGCAGCCAATAGATATTTACTCAGCACCTCCCGTGTGTCAGGCTGGGAGCCACAGAAATTAACCCGAGAGACCAAAGTGCCCTGCCTTTGAAAATTTGGGTTCTGAGACTAAATGCAACTGCCCAGGGAAAGCCCTGGGAGTAGTAGCATGTCCTCCACTCGCTCATCTGACCCCTGGGCAGACGCAGCCGCTGACCTTGCGTTTCCGGCACACCAGGCTGGCGGCCGTGATGAGCTGGATGGCGTAGCGCAGCGAGGTCTCCAGCCCAATGCGGGTCAGCACTGTGTAGGCGTCCTCACTCATCTCCACGTCTTCCTCCTCACACCTGCGGGCAGGGGGCGTAGGTGGCATTCAGCCAGGGCCGTGGCACTGCTGGACCTCTGGGGTACACGTGGAGTCCATGTCCTCAGATGCACAGAAGAGCCACCGAGGCACAGGCTGGGCCCAAACCTTGGGCCTCCTGAGCCTCTCCCTTCCAGGGCTCTTTCCACAAGGAAAGTCAGTCACCGGCACAACCCCTCCCTTCTCCAAAGAGCATCCCCCCATCATAGGCCACTGCTTGGATGCCCAGCCCAGTCCTGCTTCTGGCAGGCCCAGTGACCTCCCCCTCAGACCTCAGTGTTGCCACGTGTCAAACAGGGTGGACACCAGCCCTGCCTCTCAGGCCTGCAGCCTGGTCCTGCCCCGGAAGGCCAGGGGGGCCCCCCACCCGCACCGGATGCGGAGGATCTGCTTTGTGTCTTTCTCGCTGTAGGGAGAGGTCGAGACGATAAGCAGGCGGTCCAGCAGGTCAATGGGGATGCCGTGGGGGCTCTGGTAGCTGGTGCCCCGGATCCTGGGGGGGAGGGGGAAGGGAAGCTGTCAGGGTGATGCTCTTAGAACCTGGCTCTCCATTCCCTCTACTCAGAACACCCCACCCCTACCAACCCCCTCGGCCACAGCCCGCTCACTGGACCAAATACTGGTTAGCCTTCAGCTCCGCGCTGGTGTCACTGCCCGACGGCGCGGCCACCCCCTGACTGCATCAATCCCCTGGAGCTGAGCTGGCTTTAGCTAGATATCTGTGTCCAGGGTTACTGGATCAAGGTCCCACTCCTCTGCTTGACACAGGGCTCCACAAGAGATGCAACTGTGCCGGTCCTGTCCCCGGCTGCACCTGGCCCAGCACAAGGCCTGGCACGTGGTGCTAGGAAACAGCAGATTCCCATTATTCATGGTAGCTGTGTTCTACAAAGTGGAGGCGAACACTCAACTAGCAAATACAGGGTTAGGCTCTTGTGAGCCTCTGGTCACAATTTTTGGCAACCAACCAATAGATAGCCCGGTTTCAGGTTAAAGATACCTTATTCAATATATATTATTGACTTATTCATGCTGAACTCATAGCCAATAGCACTTGAACTCGTGCCTGAAGGAAGCTCATCTAACACATGTGTTTTCTCTGTACGGCACATCCCTGCCTTCTTGCGCTTAGCGACACTGGACAGCTGGGGGCCATTTTAAACAGCAAAATGACCAGGAACAAAAAGCATACAATGTGACAAATGTCGCACTAAACAGATCAGGAAAAGGACACTTATTTACAGCACGTGAACTGAAACTAGGAGGCAAAGCACTGCCTGCTTTGACCCTCGCCTGGACGGTCTGCCATGGGCGATTCAATTTTTTCCTGCTCTGCACACGTTTGTGAATGACCGCCAAACTGTGATGGATACCAATTTGGAGGCTACAAATCAACTGTAGCGAGTAAGCAGATCCACAAATACGGAATCTGCAGAGGAATGACTGCGTTTGCTGCCCCTCATAAGAGACACCCCTGTTCCCACAGCCTGACCTGCAGCTGCTACAAACATGCTCTCAGCTGGTCTCGTCCAACCCTGTCATCTGGATACCAAATTCTGGCCCTGCCACCTTCTACGTGTGACCTTGGGCAAGTTACCAGGCCTTGCTGTCCCCATCTTTAAAACGGGGCTGAGGGAATTCCCTGGTGGTACGGGTGGTTAGGACTCCGCGCTTCCATTGCAGGGGGCACGGGTTTGACCCTTGATTGGGGAACTAAGATCCTGCAAGCTGTGATGCATTGCCAAAAAAATAATAACAAAAATAAAGCAGGACTGAGACAATATTACCTCCCGAGCTTATTTTGAGGGGGCCGAGCAGTTCATCCTGGAAAAGGGCCAAGCACAGAGCCAAGGACAA